TTTCCCTATTTTAAGTAACTGGATATTTCTTCATTTAACATCCTAAGTCTTTTTTGGTCACTTTCTTAATGTGTATAAGTGAACTAAAGTAAAAGCTTTGAAGTCTTTATCCTTTATTATAACCTTTAGCTCCCCTTACCCAATGTATCTGCAAACTGCTGACCCTCTCAAGCACTCAGCCATCCTTGGCTCTCTGCTGCTGAATTCAAGTAGCTGGAAGCATTGTGTACTTCATAAGATGTTGTCACTCTTACTCAGAAGTGACTCCAAGATGGCTTACTATTATTTCCATTTTTTAATGTGGTTTTCTAAAACAACAAGGCCTACGTTACTACATTTTTGCCTGTCCATTACTCCAGCAGCTTTGAACCTGTGGACCAGTTTCAGCTACATTTGTCAGAGGAGCAGAAGTCTTCATTTCATAAGGTCTGTGAAAATGAGTGTCTGCTGCTTGTCTGCTAAGTTGCCCCACTGAAGGGAAGGGCTGATGCGTGATCTCAAGTACATAACTAAATACAAGAAAAATTCATGCAGGAAAGATGTTATGAGGGGAAAAAAGGCCCAGGAGAAAATGGGCTCCATGTATTTTGCCAGCAACAGAACTATGTTAAATACAAAGCTGTCCTACGTGCAAGCTGTTAGGTGAGAGAAGTATGTAGTTAATGAAAAACATCCATAAACAGCATTTCTGAGATTAGTATTCAAATAATAATCTTCCAGTGAGCCTCAGAAAAAAAGTTTGCCTTTTTTGAGGTACCACCATTTTAGACAAGAGGACTCTCAACCCTATTACAAATGGTAATGGTTTTCCCTATCATGAGTAATTACGTTTGCAGGTTTGGTTGCCTTCTTTTTTCAGCTCAACTTATTTAACCATTTAATGCTTAAAATGTATTTTGTAAGCAGCAGAGCAATCATGCTAGAGGGCAAAAGCAAGGCTTTACTTTGACATTTCTCTCTGTATAGTCTTGCAATGATTTTTGTAACAAAGGCACTCCATTACATTTTCTTAAATGCCAGCACCTCGAACTCAGCCTGTAACATGTGGGTCAGATAGGATGATCGTTCTCTTAACCATCACTGTCATTAATAATCTGTAAAGAAAACAGTCATAGAAGAACAAGTATGTTGAACAACATTTGTCTCATTGTACCCTCGCCCTGTTTTCCCAGGAAGAAGTATTATATATACACTGAGATCACTGGAGTGAAACAAGCTTTGTATGGAAAGGTGACATCGATCATTAGATTCATAATACGAACGCGAAGTCTCAGCCTTTATTCTGCAAATACAAAGCTTGTTTAATAGGAGATCTTTTTTCTCTCCCTACAAACCCTCGCTTTTCTATAAAACTTCACAACAGAGGGAGAATTTTGCATGGATAAGATAAATACTGAATGAGTTCAGTGAGATTAAGATTAATTATATTAAGTATGTACTAAACACATACTGATACTTCTCTCATTCCTTCTAAATAAGGGCAGCAAACAAGATTAAATGTCTGGAGTTCTCAGTCCTTTAAAGAATAGGAGAATTCTTTTTAATAAGTCTTGGAGGTTAATTACTGTATTAGCAAAATGAAGTTAAAATTAGCAATGTTCATACATCAAAGAGATGGTGAATTAAGCATAGGAACAATGCTAAGACAGGGCATATCCTCCTCCTGAACAGGAGGTGATTAAAAAAAAAAAAAAGATTGGCAGCACTTCAAGAATGACAAAAGCAGAGCCAATAGTTCAAAAAGCTTGAGCTAAAAGACAGACAGCAATTTTACACAATATTAACCCAAAAATTAAAACATGAACAAGTGTAATTTTTAGATTATATGCTATTAATAGAAGTAGAAGATTAGGAAAAACCTAGATACCTCTCTCGAAAACCAGTGAATTTCAGAAGAACTATTACAACTAACCTCTTCTTAAAAGACCTCAAGTTTCATAGATATCAAAGGAGAAAACCAAGAATATAATTGTCTAAGTCAGTTTTATGGCAATGAAGGATGAAAAAAGGAAGGCTTTATCTGAACAAACAATTTGAAAACAATAATAAAATATCCTCTTAATAAAGAAAAAGTCCTGTGGTCTATTTACTACCCATCACAACTCTCAGAGAAGAGGCTATGAATGCTTGGATTAACCTGCTGATCAATTTTCATACAGATGTCAGACATTTCTAACTAATTAAAAAGAATGATAAAATAATCAGAGGAGGTCAAAGTTCCACCTTCTGTGCTGTGTTGTTTTCTTGTTCACATTAGAAAAATATATTGCATTCTCAGGTGTAATTGATGTAGAAGCAACTGACAAAGATACTGTTTCTAAGACTTATTTTACTATATATTATTTGAGGCTTTACAAGGATGAAAGTGAAAACTCTTTTATTAGAATAAGGTACCCCCAATCCAAATTTAAATATACCTCTTTTTGTAGGAGTTCCTCTCGCATCTGTGAAACTAAAAGGGCTTCCTGATGTCTCTGTTGTTTACTGATTTGTTCTTGGAGATGTTTTATTAATATCTACAAAGAGATTAAAAATGTCCATGACAACATGTAAAAATCTATACAGAAAAAATACACCAAAAATATAATCAGTATTGTAGTACTCCAGGTATAAGTGATGCATATATTAACAATACTACCTCCATGAGTATACCCTCAGCAAGTTTGCTAATCATATAAAAATGGGAGAAGTGGCTGATACACCAGAGGGTTGTGCTGCCATGCAGAGGGTCCTCAACAGGCTGGAGAAATGGGCTGATAGGAGACTCATGAACTTCAGCAAAGGGAAGTAAAAAGTCCTGCTGTTAGGGGGGGAACAACCCCAGGCACCAGTAGATGCTGGGGGTCACCCAGCTGGAAAGCAGCTTTGCAGAAAAGGACCTGGGTGTCCTGGTGGACACCAAGTTGAACAAAAGGCTAACAGTATCCTGGGCTGCATTGCTGTGAATATTGCCAGCTAGTTGAGGAAGGTGGCCCTTCCCCTCTACGCAGCTCTGGTGAGGCCACACCTGGAATACTGTGTCCAGTTCTGGGTTCCCCAATGCAAGAGACATGGAGCTACTGGAGAGAGTCTGCAAAGGGCCACTAAGATGATGAAGGGACTGGAGCATCTCTCATATGAGGAAAGGCTGAGAGAGCTGGGACTGTTTAGCCTGGAGGAGAGAAGGCTCAGAGGGATCTCATCGATGTGTACAAATATCTGAAGAGAGGGTGCAAAGACAACAGAGCCAGGCTCTTCCCAGTGGTATCCAGTGACAGGAGAAGCAGCACAAACTGAAATACAGGAGGTTCTGTCTGAACATAAGGAAAACCTCTTTACTGCCAGGGTGACTGAGCACTTGTTTGGCTTTGCCCAGAGAGGCTGTGCAACGCTACAGGCTTGGGGAAGAGTGGCGGGAAAGCTGCCCAGAGGAAAAGGACCTGGGGGTACTGGTTGACAGCCGGCTGAACATGAGCCGGCAGTGTGCCCAGGTGGCCAAGAAGGCCAACGGCATCCTGGCCTGTATCAGAAATAGTGTGGCCAGCAGGAGGAGGGAGGTGATCGTGCCCCTGTACTCGGCCCTGGTGAGGCTGCACCTCGAATACTGTGTTCAGTTTTGGGCCCCTCACTACAAGAAGGACATTGAGGTGCTGGAGCGTGTCCAGAGAAGGGCAACGAAGCTGGTGAAGGGTCTAGAGAACAAGTCTTATGAGGAGCGGCTGAGGGAACTGGGGCTGTTTAGCCTGGAGAAGAGGAGGCTGAGGGGAGACCTCATCGCGCTCTACAACTACCTGAAAGGAGGTCATAGAGAGGTGGGTGTCGGTCTCTTCTGCCAAGTAACTAGCGATAGGACGAGAGGAAATGACCTCGAGTTGCACCAAGGGAGGTTTAGACTGGACATTAGGAAAAACTTCTTTACTGAAAGAGTGGTCAGGCCTTGGAACAGGCTGCCCAAGGAAGTGATTGAGCCACCAACCCTGGAAGTATTTGAAAGAAGTGTAGATGAGGCGCTTAGGGACATGGTTTAGTGGGCATGGTGGTGTTGGGTTGACGGTTGGACTCAATGATCTTAGAGGTCTTTTCCAACCTTAATGATTCTATGATTCTATGATCTCCCTCCTTGGAGATATTCAAAAGTCATCTCAACACGGTCCTGAGCAACTGGCTTTAAGTGAGCCTGCTTGAGCAGGGGGGTTGGACAAGATGACCTCCAGAGGTCCCTTCCAACCTCAGGCATTCTGTGATTCTGTGAATACAGTGGCACAGCCCATTTTTGAAACAACAGATCCTACTTCAAAGAAAGATAAAGTTTATAGTAATCTAGAAACAAGTAACTTTAACAGATATCTATGTGTAATGGATATATCTACTGCATCTTACCTCTTGTGTTGAAATTCTGCTGCTTAGTTCAGCTACTTTAGAAGTAGAATGCTCCCTTGCGTGCTGGCAAAGAATCTTCTCCACTTCCCTCTGATGGGAAGCTTTCAGAGATGCAATGTATTCTGCTGTGTCTTCCTGTACCCTGAACAGAGTGAGAGGAAAATAAGATGTAGTAAACCAGCTACAGACAGTTCTTCAAAAATGCGGCAAAGTTTCTCACTTGAACTTATGTAATATCAAAAACATTAAAGGCAGCATGTCTTTGAAATTTCACAACAAAACCTCGCAAGAGATAGCACCACCATTACTTCTACTGCTCTGGAGGGATGACAGGGTGGGAAGCTTACAATGTTGGATATGTGCCTCATTTAACTAGAGGCAGCTAGAATACAGAAAACTCAGTCAATCATCCTTTTTGCCTCCTCTTAAAAAAAAAAAAAAGGCGAGAAAATAGGTGCTTTTAAATCATAATTCAGCTGTCCTATTTCAGGTATCTATTTTAGAACAGGATGTGTTGCAATCTAAATAGGCCAATTTCCCCTACTTTGACTGTGAAGGGAGACTAGGTAAAGTGTAAAGTTTCTACAGTTGGTCAAGTAAATCTCACTGAAAGCATATCCCAGTTTGAAGGAAAGTATGTGTACCAAATATTAATGCTATATAACACAAATACAAAACATCCAAGATGCAACTATTTATACTGAGATCTTTTTACTCAAAACCATGACGAATGTAGCATTAATAAGTAAGATTAACATAAGTTTACCTGCAGAAAGAATCATGACAGTGCACTGCTCTAAAAAAAAAAACCCAAAACAACCAACCCCTCCCCCCACAAAACCCAAAACCAAAAACAAACAGTAAAAATGAAATTTACAGAGAACATTGGCCAAGTATAAGCTAGCTTCACACATGGCTAACATGTTAATGTGTCACTTCAATCCTGTATCAGCCAACACTTTAACGAGGTTTTTAAAGGAACATTTTGAGCATTTACCTTCGTATGTTATTTTCAGAATAAGCCAGTGTTGCTTGAGACTTCACCCTCTGCTGGTTCATTTCTAGAGACAATCTCTCTAGCTCCTCTTTCAGCTGTGCATTTTCTTGCAGAACTTCCGAGAGATTAGAAGCAGAGAAGGTATGTGGTTGGTATATTTTGTCATCATTGAAAATGCTTAGAAGGGGTTCACTGTTGCTGGAATTCCTTTTATCTGTTGCTGAGGTATTCTTTTTCAAGATCTCTGTAGAGTTTTCCTTATTATCGGTTTTATTTCTCAAATTATTATCAGACAACATCACCATCCTTTCTTTTTGAAGTTTCTCTACAGTTTTTGTAAGGTCTTGTATTTCTCTATTTTTGGTGACCAGTTCTTCATTTAGTTTTAACAGTCTGTCTTTTGTGTTACCTTGTTTCATGTGAGAGTCTGTGGACTCTAAGGCTTTATTATCCTTTTTACTTCTAGGTTTTAATTGGGTATTTTGACTTTTAAGGTTTTCAATTTCTGTCTGGAGGTTTTTAACAGTGATCTGATGGGTCTTCTTTAGATTCTGAAGCTCCTGTTCAAGTTCTGTAGAACTGGCTTTACCACCATTCAGTTTTGGTGATTCACTCATAAATTTGTAGGCAAGTAGTTGCTCAAGCTCTACAAGTCTTTGCTCATACTGTATCTAAGGGAGGGGAGTGGGAGGAGGGGAAGAAAAAGCAGTTTCCTCAAGTGTACTTTTATTATTAGCTCTTCTTATTATTCTTTAAAGTTACTGCATATCTGAAGCAAGATTTCCTAAGACAGGTTTTAATTGGGTATTTTGACTTTTAAGGTTTTCAATTTCTGTCTGGAGGTATTACTAACAACACTACTCAATCAGTTCAGAAATTAGTAAGTGAAAAAATTATGTGAAGCAAACTTAAGTCTGCTGTAAAACACAATTACTCAAAACATTTACTACAAAGTAATCCTCTACTCACAATGAATACAGTAACTATGGGAAAGAAAATTAAATTGACAAGAAACTATATCATTTTTATATAACTGTGTTCTGTTGAGATATTACCAACTTGGACAGGCAAAGTAAAATCTTATTTTAATATAGCAAGAAGTCTTTAATTTTTTAAAAAATCTGCCATTATGTATTTGTCAGATTTCTGAGCATCCTAGCATGGAAAAGTCTTTAAGATTAGCTATCATGTAATTTTTGGATAGAACGTTTAGTGTCCCCAGACATTCCTTGCAGAAATGCTCAGTCAGCAGACCTTTGAAACCACAGCCTTTGGTACAGCAAGGAATTAGGTAAGCAGCTACTCTAACCCACAGGATGAAATCCACTTATCTTAACTGTAAGAATTAAAGTATTATGCCCCAGGAACTTGTCCTCTCAGTTTCAGTATTGCTCTAACAATTTCAGTGCTCTTTTTATTTTATGTGCTGAAGCCACTGAAATTATGGTTATAAATTCTTTGAATATTTTTCTCCTTGAATGTGGTCTTTGCCTTCAGTTTTCACCACTGCTTTGTGTTAGACCCCAGTAACCTTGTGACTGTTACTTGCGGAGTAGACTACTCAACAAGCCTCCAACTTTTACCTTTATTTTTTGAAATTGTTGTTCCATGGTACGGAGACTTTTTTTAGCTTCGTCATCTTTACCCTCAAGTTCCGTTTCTAACTTTTTTATTCTTCTCTCCAAAAAATCGACTGTGTGTGTTTTAGCTGAGAGATCATTAGTTTTGTCAGCAGCAGCAGCAGCATAGATCAAAGCTGGCAAAGAATTTGGATACCTTCTTTTTAGAATTCCTTCCATTTCTCTGATCTATCAAAAAGAAAATTAAGTCAGAAGTCAAAAAGAATAAAGTTCTGATGAAAAGTGAACTGAAATAAGTGACAGAATGTTAACAAATGTCATCCACTTAAGCTGGGTGAAGAATGAAAACTAGAGATGCATATATTGAGAATTTTTTACATTGTTTACATTTATGTTAGTTTACAGAAAAGCAAGACATCATCTCTTACTGGTTGACTTATACATCATCTTAAACAAAATACTGCTCTGGTCTTCAAATTGTCTTATGTCAAATGGACCTTTTATTTACTTTCTTAGCACTTAAGTTGTATATAGCTCTTAATGCTGTTAAAATATTTGCTTTTTTTCTGGACTTACTTTCACACTTCCACATTCCATTCTACTTTTCCAACTGTTGCAGAGATATTTCATAACAATATTGAAACTATTCTCCCAATAACAGATTAAATGACTTTTTATTTTGGAGTCTGCAATAAAATAAAACTAACACCTGGCATGCAAGACTAATAACAAGCCCCTCTTTTATCTATGGCTAAGATATTTTTTGCATTAGAATACTGCGGAGGCTCCTTCTCATTTGTCCCACATCCCTACCAAATGCAGCTGCCATCTCCTAAAATTCAGAAAGGCACAGTTCCTCCTGACTTTTCCTCAATAGAAACATGGATGTTTAAGGTCTCTACTCCCCCAGTTTTCATGAATCTTGTAGGAATTCAATACAATTTAAACCCCTACTCTTGAATCAACTTGGTTGAAATTGGTCATAATGTTAATGGGTTACTGAATACAGACAGAAGGAGTCTTAGAAAGATAAACAGCAAGCTTATGTGTGCTTTTGCCTTCTTGCCCCTTTCCAAGAAACTCTGAACAGTATTTTAATGTTAAAGAATTTTAAAAGGGGTATCAGTAAATAGCTTATTAGAACACAGTAGCAGAAAAGCCCTTTGTAAGTAAATAATTGCAGCTTTTTGTGTTAAGAGTGTTCCATAGCACAAGTTACTTTATCATAGGGCTTCATTCAATGCTTTATCCTTATGAAAGGGCTGGTAAGTGTTGTAAGAGACCTTATGTGAAATAAAGGTTAAACGAAACACAGTTCTATTATTGCATACTTGTCGCTCAAGATCCTGAATTCTTTTAGCATCTGCTGCTCTGTCTCGCAAACGTTTCTTCTGTTGCGCACACTGATCTCCAGCTTCAGCTCTGAGCTTCTCGACCTATCCAATTTATGAGAAAATAAACTGAAATACATATTCAGAGATATTGTCCTGTAGTACGAAAGTAAGCGTTTCAAACACACATAATATAATGGAATTATTTTGCAACTTAAGAACTCGTAATAGTAATTTCTGTACTAACTGATTCTTCAGGTTCTTAAACTAAGTTACAGCTTCTTCAAGCCAGTTGAGATTAAAAGAAGCTGAAACTAGCTACAGAAGTCTATAAGAGAACTTAAAATCTGGGACATTCTTGTCTTCTGACCAGTAAATCTGCTTCTTTCTACCATAATTCCAGTATGCAGGCTTGGTTAATAAAGTATAATATAAAGTACTACAGTACATTACATGAATTCAGGGTGAGTTAAAGAAATAGTTTTTGATTTGCAAGGCTATGCTCCATGATGAGCAATGTTATGTTGTGCCTAAATAAATGCTGACTCCCAGGATCAGGGGAAGTAACTGGATAGCTAATGCTCCTGCATTCCCATAAAGTCTGGCCATGAGGACTCAAAAGCTTTAATCTAAAATTGAATTTCCTACCTTTATCAGCCACTATGATCACTGTACAGGGATATTACACCTTGTATAGTTGGAAGTATTCCTATCTTGATTTTTGTCTCACATTGGCAATGTTAGCATAAGTAATGCTTTTATGCCAGCATAGTTTGACTAATTTGATTGTTTCTATGAAGTCAAAGCTCTTCATTGTTTTTAAACACCAGTCCATCCTGGAGAAAATGCAAATTAAAATATTTTCTTTCACAGCAAAGATATGTTGATCAAAGTTTGGTATGGTGCTGTTTAAGGGCTATCCTTCCCTGGCTGCTCCTTCAGAGGTACCTCCTTTCATCTGTGATCTCTTCAATAAAACAGCATGAAAAAATTCTAAGATCATTTTATCACTGGTACCATTCTTTATTTCTATGAATCTTAAGTCAAATCTACTGACAAGCAGGCAATGCAAATCTTAGAACTATTCAAGATTCATGTATTAGTTTTGCTTGCTTTGTATTTCGAGTGTTTTGGCTTTTTCGTCCCTACTACGGCAACCAGAGAATTTTTCTAAGGAAAAAAAGAATTTAGAACTGGTACTTAAGAGAAAAAATAAGTGTTGCCTATGCTACGGTGGAGTAAAAAGGAGGAAAAGAGAATGACAAGAGGGATGTTCCAAGTTGTTAATGTAACAATGTACTTCCCTTTCTTAGTCAAGCAATTTGCAGGTTTTAAGGAAACACATTACTTTTGTTTCCAAAAGCATCATCAGGGTGTCCAATACAAGCAAAACCAGGTTTGAAGCATTATGCACTTGCAGTTCTCACTGCAGTAATATCTATATTGCATATAAAGACTCCACATTTGATTTAAAGCTTATGAAGAGTTTACATGTTTTTTCTTGAAAAAAAATGGGATTATTATGGACAGAATTACATTATACTCATCACTAGAAAAGAAATAATTTAAAGTTTCAACTTCTTAGATAAAACTAGATATTATCACCTCCAGTTTTAGTTTCTCAATTTCTTCTCTTGCATCTTTAAGACGGGCTGCATCTTTATCCAGAAGATCTTGATTTTCTGCATACCACTGAAGTCGTCTTTTTAAATGAGTAATTTCCTGTTTGTATGATTCTTCCATAACTTTAAATTCGTAAGACTTCTCACCTACAAGAATAAAACATCCTTAGTATTGTTTTATTAGTAATTATGTATTGAAGTAATTAGTCAACACTATCCTTCTCAGCACATTTCATATACTTACTAATCCTTTACTGCAGTGAAGTTTTAAAACCAGACCCTAATTAGGATTTTAAATGCAACGGTATTTGAAAAAAACCTTTTTTTCTCTCATACATAGTAGTACTCAATGGTTCACAGTTTACTGTGGAAGGTATTTAAAACAGAATCCCAGGGGGATCTATTCTTGATCACGTTCTAGTAAACAAATTTTCAGTATCATGGATGACATTATAGAATATATGCTTAGATATATATTGACCATACTCCTCCCATTTAGGGATCAAGCATTTTGAGAAGAGACATGGAGGCAAATATTACAGCTCTTAGCACTTGTCATGCCTGATACTGGAAGTGAAAGAGTCCAATTTCTGGCCGTCTCATTAAGAAAGCTAAAGTCTCTAAGGAAAGAGTTCTTGTAAGAATGTTGAAAAGTCACAAGGCATAAGTTATAGGTAAAAAATGGGCACAATTTAAATAGGAGACTAAGATGCAACATAGTAAATCTTCGCTTATGAACAGAGTTGTCATATAAATGGAATCATCTGTTTTCCATGCCCAGTGGGAGATGGCCAAGAAATCAAACTTAATATGCAACAGCAGAGAGTTTGGCTGTATACAAGAAAAGGCTTTCTAATAGAGTGCCAAAGGTACCGTAGCATGTCCTTCACTGTACGCTTTTATTAGAAGTTTAGACAATATTTGGAAATAGTCTAGATGCATTTGACTATGTAGTATTTTAATAAGAAACAAGTTTTAGTTACATATTTATTTAGTGAAGCGCAGAGTAGGCAAAATTACTCAACAAAATGAAGGTGCTTTACCTGATGTGGATGCAATCTGGACTTTTGCTAAATCTCTCTCCTTCTTTGCTTGTCCCAAGTCTACCTCAAGAGCTTGCTTATCTTGTTTGAGACGTCTTATCTCTTCTTGTAATTTCGTTTCTTCCTTCTGAGTTTTAGAGAAAATGGCAAGACAAGAAAAACTAAACGCACATTGTCATACAAAAAACCTGAACGTGCTTTTTCACCATAAGATGATTAAATCACAACAGTTGCACCAGACTAGACCACAGCAGTAATGAGGTTTTCTAGTTTTTGTATTATTCTCAGGCCTTGCTGCAGCAGAGCATGGGAAAACTTAAGCTAAACATAAAAAAACTGTATTTTTTTAAATAAGTCTTACATAATTGTCTTAGAAGTAGAAAACACCTGCCTTTTGAGAGGGTCAGTAAAGAAATAGCTTTACTTATTTCTAAAATTTAAGACGGTAGCTTAAATGGACAGATGTATTCTCCAACAGTTCATCTTACTACATTCTATTTCTCGCCATTTTCTGCATGCGCTCTCTGTTCTGTTTGTTTATGTGTGATCACTAGCAAACTTCCAAGACTAAGTAGGACAAAAGGTCTCAGTGCCAGCCTCTGGAGATGGAGGCCCTTGGTCCTAGGGATCCGTAGGTACAGGGAGCAGCAACTGGGAGGGCTGAGATTTTGGGGCAAACCAGTAAATAGACCAAGTGTCTAGGGCCAGCAAGGGCCAGCACATGCATGTATGTGTGTTATTGCTAGCGAACTCCTATCCTGATCTGCTGAACAGGATCAGGCCACATGAGCTCCTTGTGTTTCCAACAGTTTTGTTTGTATTTCTGTGGTGCGAGCAAAGGCACTGCCCTCTGTGTTACCTGTATGCCTGACCATGTTAGTGTTGTATGTGTGTGTCTCCATCTTTGGATCTTGTGTTCAGTCTCATTACAGGGAAGGACAGGGAAGTGCAGCAGCACCTATGAGGTTGGAACTAGGGGAGCCCCTGGAGTCTTAAGAGCTCAAAGTCAGCTCTATCAGACCACGAATGCCTCCACTGGTCCTTAAGCTCACTGGATCTAGATCCTCTTATCACCTACCTAACCAGTTGTTGTTTGGTTTTGGTTTGGGTTGGTTGGTTTGTTTAAAAAAAAAAAACAACCAAAACCAGAAGCAGCAGCTTTTAATTTCTGGTCTAACTATCAGAGGAAGTATGTACCAGAACTTGAAGTATGTGCCCACTTGCAGTAAGCAGAGCAACAGAAGTTCCTGAAAACCTTTAATTTTAACATGAAGCTTACTAAACGTCCTCCCTCAAAACCACAAGCATCTGTAAGACTACAAAAAAGAGTTACGTGAGTGAATAACAAAAGATTCTTTTCACTCTGATGTTCTTTTCTGTAACTTACTTGGTATAGAGCAGGGATAAACATTCTTCTGGATTTGTCTTATGCGGGAAAGCTACAGAGGTATGACTACTTTCTACAAGCTCTCAGAAGATATTTCAGAATTCCCAGTAAACTTGGCAACACTGCATTTCCTTCAGTGAATCTATGTCTTAGGGGATTACTTCTGAAAGTTCATTTGATGAGACATTGGTGATATACAAGTGTGGCAAATAATTAACGCTGTAGAACAGTAGCATGCTCCACTACTTAATTTACATTATTAGTCTACAATATGGATGGTTAAGTGTTTTTCGTAAGAACACATGGTTTGTGTATACCTACCTGTGCTGCTCGAAGCTCTGAAATCAATTCTGTGAAACTCTGATTTCTGACTGGTTCAGAATCCTGCACGATTCGTGACTGGGTATTAGTTTTCTCTATCTTTTCTCTAAACGGCAACAGCAAAAACAGTTATGCAATGTGGTGACTTGGCATACTAACAGTGGCGTACTAAAAAACAAACATCCCCCCCCCCGAAATGGTACCACAAAAGGCAATCTGTGCAGGCTCAAAACAAAGAAAGAAGCAACTATGTAGTATCTCTTCATAGCAAAAAAAATTCACCTGTAAGGTGAAATCTTCTCACCTCGCACAAACTTGTTTGTTGGGACTACACAAGGGAAGGAAACAAAACCTACTCTGCATCAGTGGAACTCATCTATGGGCCTCTCCCAAGCAAAGATTTGTAAATTAGGAGTACACGCAATTGCTAGGTTTTTTCCTCATTACTAGTACAGGATGCAACTCTGACAGGACCTACAGTGCAGTTGAATCTGATGGTTCCTTCACTACCAGGATCTCTTGTGGCCCAGATCTACTGTGTATCTTACAACAGTATCAAAACATTTTGACATGTGAGCAGAGCCGTAATACTAGAACAGGTGTAGTATACGTATTGCACATTCTGATATGAATAAGAGTATTTGAATTTTAGCATTGAAATATTCCCCAAATGGAAGACCCTACTCCGCCCACAGGCCTGAAACATCAGCAAGAAGGCTAAGAATTAAGTGCCCATAATCAACATAAATCAATTCTCAAAAGAAAAAACAAAACCACAAACCCAAGAAACACTGGAAAACATGCACCTGACAGACTCTACAGTGATTCTTCATAAATAAAATAATAAACACAGCTGAAAACTCCAGAGATTTTAGGTCAGATGTGTAAGTAAGCCTACCTTAGGGCTATTAATTCAGACATTAAACACTGATTCTCCTTAAACATTCGTTCCTCATTTTTTTTGTTTTGGATTTGTAGCTCTTTCATTTGTTTGTATAACCTCTCATTTTCCTAAGAGGAGACAGACAAAGTTAAAGAACGTTCATAAATGACTGTTTTATCCCGTTCAAAAACAATTGTCTATGACTTGCATAGTTTGCCTACTGAAACAGTGGAAGAAAACACTAAATGTTTTATTACTAAGTTTCTAAAATGGATATCTACTTTCATTATCTTTGCGCTAAAGTAGTATACAGTGATCTCTACAATCTTGTCCAAGTGTCTGCTCACTCTGGAGAAACTAGGCCAGTTCCTCTGCAAAGCTGTCCCAACTATATTCTAAAAGCATGGATGGGTGCTGATAGATCAGAGCTCAGCCTGCCCATGCTCCAATCCTGTCGACACAAACCATCACCGATTCGGGATGCTCACAGCTATACTGGCAAGACATTGTGACTATACCAAGAAATGCTGCTGAGCACCAGCTGGAAGCTGGTTAAACTAACCTATTTGATTTTACAGCTGCAAGTATTCAAAAGAATTATTAAGCTTGCATTATCTATTTCTACGCTTGACTAAGTAATAAAAGTCAGGCACACTAATAAGGTTTCTTTGAAATCAGCTGCTCAGATCCTGTGTAAACATCTTAAAAACAGAACCCTCCAGATTTCTAATATAACTTAAAAATACTAGTTTTCTACTACATTTGAGGCAAAAAGTTTGTGGTTCTTTATGGGCCATGAAGTATTTTACCAGTTCTCAACTGACAAGTCAGCATATTTTTACAATTTAGAACAGTTACATGGAATCGTGGAAAAACAGCCCAAACTAGACATGTGTGAAATACTTTTTAAACGTGCAATACATTTGCCCTTCACACCTAAATTTCATCCACTTTTTAGATAGCAAGATAACTGTTTTCAACAGAAAAGTAGTAACCATTAAACAATTTTGTTTCTGAAACTGGCTAGAACACAGCTCAATATGCTGTGTGGTATACCTGTTGATAACCTTGAATAATGACCTCTTGATTTTCAATTTCTTTTTGTATTTGTGCCAGTTTTTCTTCAGTGACAGGAATTGTTGCCATATGATGGGTCCATCTCTTCTCTTCACTCAGCTCTTCCATACTTCTTAACTTTCAGAAAGAAAGACACACAATTAATAAGAAAGTTTTGTTAGCAATATGGAATTCTCTACAAGGCTACACTTTTATAATATAAATAGGTCAATCTTTTCATTAAGATATGAAAGCAGACCAGTGAGCCAATCTTATTATTGGAGTTTCACAGAAGCACTACAAAACAGGAACAAAGTATAAAAAGTTTGGGAAAAGTTAACAAAGTTTTACCCTCCCTCTTCTGTTCTTGTGTATCTAGGCAGGAGGGTATACTGGAATAACCTTGGGAATATGCCATACAGACAAAACACAACATTGAAAAATGCATCAAAAAAATAAACAATATCTCAACATATAGTGCTTATGTATAACAAGTGGTATCAGTTAATCTCTTATTCATATTTTTTTTTACATAGCTGAGTTAAATCTTTGCAAAAAACCTGCTGCAGAACTCTCAAAATAGCAAACTAAAGGAATCAGGATAATATAGTTTATCGCTGTAGAAAAATAAAAGATTATGTCTTATGGGCAATAAATGTAACAGCAGGTATGCATTTACAAACTAACAGTGTGTATGTAAATCTGGATTTTCTGCTCATTAACAACTCATGTAAAATAACATTAATTTAATTTTCAGAAGTGATGTTTCTCCTGTTCTATAGTAATGGGATACAAGATGATAAGTACCTTACTCTGAAGAACATAGTTTTCCTGACCCAACCGAGAAAGCTCTTTTTCATGCTGTGTTTTCAATTCTACTGTCTTTGTCTCTATTTCTTTCTCTTTTTGTGAAACCGTGCTGGTTAGCTGTTGAATCAAGTCACGAGCTGTGTTCAGGTCCTCCTCTGCAACTTGTACTCGTTTTAGCAAATATAGTTCTCTATCACAACTTTTGATAGGAGAAAATGATAAATCCTAGTGAAGAGAAAAATTCAGGGAAACATTACACTGAGCTGATTGTTTACCAAAAATTCCACTCATCGATTTTATTTAACTGGCTTGTCTGGCTCTCAGCAACCACATAAGGCACTTGAAAAGAAAAAAAAAAAAAAACAACATTCTAATAGCAAGACATCCTGCATTTACTTTCATGAGCTGCTTTCTCATTTCTGAAATACGTATGAGGAAAACAAGCCAAAAAACCAACAAGAAATAAACACCTCTCATGTGAGAGCCACTATATGGCTACCATTATTCTATTACGCATCTTACTTTTGGAAAAGCAGTAATGATTTAGGTATTCAGTGAAAAATTTTTTGTACAGTTTATAAGGAAGAAGGATAATCCATCATGGTGCTGCAAATTCTCATCTTGGAGAAGTCAGAAGATACTATTAAATATTCAATGCAAATAGAAAAAAAACCCCAAACAGTAGTACTATTTAACATTCATAACAGGATACTTTTAAGTAAAAGTTTTATGTAAAATTTTCCCCTTTTCTACCACAAAATAGTAATTTTTAGAAATTAATAAGCATTCCAATTTTAAGTACATAGAACCGCCCAAGCAACAGAATTATCCAAGCAACTGAAAAACAGTATGATTATACTTGCATATTTTAAAAGCAAAAACTAGTATTTGACTAAAGGGCCATCTTTATTCAATATTTCAGCATTTGCCAATCTTGTGATAATTATTAAAAGTCTTGACAAAATAGGCTTGCAAACCAAGTTGTACATACTATAATTAGGAGCATCACTGATTATTACTCACATGCTGATACTGCCTGCAATAATCCACAGCCTGATGTCCAAGATTATTGACAACTGATTGGCCAGACATAACTCTGTTAATACTTCCCTTTGAAGCTGGTTCATTTGTTGCAGATCTTATTATCCTAGTAGCAAATAAGCCTTCTTCATTTAGGCAGAAAGTAAAATAGAACAAAATTAAATTCAGAATTTCATGTCCTTTCAAAAAAATCTACTTACGTGATCCACCCCTTAGGCATATAAATTAAGTATTCTACAACCTGAATTTTGAATTAAATATAGAAACTTGAGAGCAATGAGACATCATGGAAAATGTTGTAGTTTTTTTTTAAGTAAGGAACTGATGACAAGATAAAACAAAACCCAAGGGAACAACTGAAAAAAGTAGCTGGATAATAAATTCTTTATGAAACAAGGTTAACCTCAGTTCTCTGCTCAAGAATTGGCCAGTTGTCTAAGTATACAGAAGTACAACATATTTCAAGTTATGATGAAGATAAGACACAGCAATTTTCAAAATAGACTTTGGAGTGCAGATAGCATACAAAGACATGCAACATTTATTCGTTGCATCAAATAGTAACTTGACTGGAAATTAAAAATCAGGGAAGTTCCCCCTACGGAGTAACTAACATACATGGAACTATTCACATCTTAGTCTTCTGAAATACAGATAGTAACTACAACTCTTGTTTCATTTCTGCCTATAGCAATTTAAGCTAAGAGCTCCTGCTTAGGAGTGTTATACCTGAAAACAAACAGGCAATGATCATTTTCCAAATTTAATACTTTTTACATTTCTCACACTATCGCCTCACAAAGGTGCTCCCTTAGCACTGATGATTAGGGGATTGTTTGATTCAATGCCATTCTCTTCCTCGCTTTAGAGGTCCCTGCAGAATGCGTCCTGGTGATATTAACTTCTGAAGTCACCTGAAATTGCTATGGAGAATGGCTATAGCTAGAGAGGGAAGAACATGTTCGAATAACGCTAGTGGCCTCATTTTCTCGGGATATGTCATTCACTTCACTAGCTCCATCTGGCTGTAAACCCTCCTCTTCTCCAGAGAGCACCAGAGCAATGCACTGAGGAACTCAGGTCCCTTAGTTTGACAGCTGCCACTGAAGCATCTCCCTAAGATGGGCAACATAATCCTAAACTGCTTTTCCCAACACTACTTGCAGGGTTTTTAAAAGCATTACACGCCAGAAGCGTGCTAAAACCTGGGCATCTGTAGAGTTATTTTCCCATGCCTCAAAGATAGCAAACATCATCTGCAAAGATGCTGAATTATCTCATGAAACTTTCAGGCTTCTCCCAAAAATAAAAAAGTTCAATCCTTTACTTGCAACTCAGCTTTCACAGGACTACATTGGTATTCTCCTTTCCTTAGTGTTACAAGAGACAAGAACAGAAAATAGAACTGTCTTTTTAGTGCTTTCTTTGTACTCTAGGAAAACAAAGATAAAAAGAAGCAGCTGAGAGTAGAAATTCGGCATCACACACAGAAGTTAGCGGGTCAGCAAATCTTTGCATTTACTGTAATGAAAAATGTAACTTGTAGATTACTAGCTTTTTGTATTGTTTTGGTCCTACTGGTGAACAATAGGTAAGTCTCAAACATAGTGGTGGTATATGCGAGTGGAAACAAGTGAAACAAGACTACAGTGCAAAGCTTTATTTAAAAGTCTCTCTTCCAGCAACTTCATACTGATACAGAAAAAATTCAGTACTTAATTGCTGATTTCTTCTACAACATTTTGAATTTTTTTTTTTTTTTTTTTAAATGTGAAGCATGAACAGCAAAGCTCTCTGGCTCTTAAAACTCAGACTTCTTATGATAGAATTACCTTTAGATCTTGCTCTATCTGCAGGACTTTTGGCTTTCACACTCGTCTTTTTGAAAGTTTCTTTTGGTGTTTTCTTTTCATTAACCGGAAAAGACTGTTTTGAGAGGGAAGTGGGTTTCCCATACCCAGAACTTCTAACCACCCCATGAGGACCATATGAAGATTTCTTTTTATGTAAAGGTGCTGGACTTCTGATATTCTTGTATAACATTGGTTTAGTTGTCATTGATTCTGATCTTTCATTCTTCAAGGAACAAGACTGAAGAGCCTGTGATAGAGCACATTTGTTTAAAACAAGTTTTAGGCTCTAGTGTAATCTGAAGGCAGCTTTCACTATTAAAAGAACATAGAAACAGTTATCAGAATTACATAGCTCTAAGACACAGGGCAGCAGGAAGCATTATTTTTAACCAAATTAATAGTATGTAATTTTGCAGAATTTTACTACTTCAAAAGTATACATAGTGCAAGTATTTTGTTCTGGCTCCATTTAATTGTTCTGGCAAGTTGTATTACATTACAGGATCTTTAGATTATCAAAGCAGGTAGCTCATGACTAAAGGTTAATCACAGTGAACACAGAAACTCAGTGATGAAGAGAGGAACAGTGGCAGACAGAGGAACCCTACTAAACTTGATCAAAAACAGAGCTCACAATTCCTAAGACCAGCAAATGAGAAAGCTTAGCCTGTTGGCCCTGGTGGGAAACCCACCAGGATGAATCAGCCAAACAACCTCTCTCCCTGCACTGCCTTGCAGACATGATCAGGTTGCTGGTCAGTACACTTGTCTGACTAAGCCCTACGTTGATCATTGCGGTCTCTCCTATATTCTTATTGAACTGTATTTCTAACTGTCCTCTCTCTAGGTATGCTCTCTATTCTGAGCCTGTGTGTGTTTATACACGTCCCTGCAATGGGAACACATGCTCACACTCACTACTAGCTTGAACTGGGGACATGGAAGTGCAGCAGCCTTGCACATATTGCGCTGGGACAGGAAGAATTCCACTGGTCCCAAAGTCCACTAGATTTGGCTACCTCTAACAATAGCAACAGTAACATGAGAGTTTCAAGAAAAACAGCAACAGTCTCTCAACTTCTAAACATCAGAGCATAATCAAATGACAGGCAGTCTAAAATACATTTTAAATTTATTTCCACATAATAAAAATCTGGTTGATATTACTTACTTGTTTAGTTTTGCTGTCTTGTGAAAGCAGAGAGTCTTGTACTATTTTTTCTCTTAGTACGTCAGGCTGTACTTCACTGGCCTGAATTTCTTTCTCAGTCACCTTCTGGAAGTTATTGTCATTCACAGCTGTCTGCAGAAAAATTCTCTCTTCTCTGTTAAATTTTTCAAGTAAGTTTGTCTCCCAGACTGTGTTATTCTGGTGCTCTTTAAAGGGCAAGTGGCTGACGAAGTCATTTGCTGTGCTGCCTACCAGTTTCACAGGACTACAAGAGAAAGGAATAAAGTCATATAGAATAAGACTTTTGCCCTTTGCTTTTCTGTCACTCTGGAAAAAGTGGGCCATTTTTACTTCAGGTATCAGCTCTAAAGACTGCTTGAATTTGAAAGAGCCAGTAGGCTCCTTTTAAGAACAACCTTGCAGATTCACTCTCATGCTGTGGAACAAGAGCTATTTCCCAGCAGTGGCTGTTTTTGCAGAGGTACCAAACTCGGCTACAAGATGAACACCTGCAAGTGTGCAATTAATGCTAATAAAACAATGAATGGTAATTTCTGCTGGGCGCAGCTACATGATAAGCTCCCAAAATCTATTTGCTAAGCATAACCTATTTCTGACAGTTCCAGGGCCTGTGCTTTCTTGCTCTAGACACAACAGTTGGAGCAAACCAGAAGGTTAGTAAGAATCATGAGAGTAAGCAGAATAAGAGGATTTGATCTTAGATTATGGAGCAGAGATCCTAGCTGTGGTAGCTGTGAGAGTGAGGAACACTCCTCCAAATGATTTGGCAAACATTGCTGCTTATCACTCAAACAAAGTTTGGGAATCCCTGGTCTGAACAAATTAACCCTGTATATTCATTTTACAATTCACTGCAAATGCCATAATGCCAGTGCAAGACATAATGAAATTTAGTCATTTAGTTATTTAGTAAGCTGTTTTTCACAAATAGTTAATGGACTTAAGTTATTACAATTCCTAAAATGCATTCTGAAATAAATACCTTTCAGGCTCCACATCAAAACTTCTGATATTACATGAATGTCCTTTAATTGGTTTCATCAATTCTTCCACAGTAGGTAAATCTAATTAGCGCAAAATAAAATAAATAAATAGATAAATAAATAAAACCCTTAGAAAAAATATTAGTAAAAAGGACAATATTTTAAAAATGTTTCATAAATGGAGTATTGAAGATATTACTAGTTCACTCATTTTACATGCTTCTACAATACATGCCTTCCTTTGAGGTATTTACCTGATTCAACAGTTGACATGTTTTTTGAATAGATGTCATTATTTTGTGAAACACCTTGCAGTAAGCATTCTGAGACTGCCATTGCAGAATTGTGCAGGTTTTGCTCATCAGTGTCTCCCAAAGACTGATCAATATGATGGTATGCTTGGTGTAACGCTTCGATGTCACTGGTGGTTTGTCCATAGGAAGTGCCTGTGAAAAACGCAGGCTCATAAGAGACACTACAGGATTTTTGATTTCGGGAAACATCCCACTGGAGCCTGTATCACTTACTTGCTTGGTCTATTATGTGGTGGGAACAGTGATTTCAGTTATGAAAAACATATTTTAAAATCTCATTTTTACTATAAAAATGAACAGTTGCCAAGTTAATTAGTACATACTAAACAGTCTCATCTACAGTTGTGCATGCCTCTCCACCCACCCTCCCCGCCTCAATATTTTATCAGTACTAAAACTAACAGTGTATGTGATATAACTATTTTAACAGATGCCATCAGAGCCACACTGTGGATATAAGTGGCATACACTGTTTACAAAGTTTGATAAGAGAATGTATTTTATAACTGTGTTCAATGCTGTCGAAGAATTTTAGCTATGATGAATAACCAAAGGAGATGGTATTTAAAAATCAAACTGCATTGTCAAAAGCAACTTTACAATAACCAAGTGTAAAAAGCTGTCTTTTTAGCAGAAATATGACTTTTTCCTGAAATATTTCCTCCTCCTTTCAAGATCTGTTACTAAAAGCCAAGGGATTCATGTTCACTGATAACCTAAGAACAAATGAAGATATCAGAGCCACCTATTCTACTAAAGTAAGATTTTGGGGTTTGGGTTTTGTTGTGTGTTTTGGGGTTTTTTTATGTTTGTTTTTGGTTTTGTTTTGTTTTGTTTTTTTAAAAGCAACCCTTACCTGCTTCATTCATTTCAATTCCACTGACTTCTTCAGGCAGATAATGTTCACCTAGAGCTACATCTGATGTTTCAACAGCCTTTTGAAGTTCTGTAGTTGAATCTTGTGAATCAAGTAATACAACTAAAACCAAAAAGATAAATGTTAAAGAAAACACAATTCTCTTATTTATACTCTGTCTACATTGGAATTAGAAGTATACCAAAGCTTATCTTGATATACTAAACATGTGAAAAATGCTATATAGATTATTCTAATGCCATTAATGGTAAACTGATTAACTCTAATTACAAGCATCAAAATCTGAGTACTGACTAGATGTAGTAAAATAAAAAATTACATGGATGATCACTTTGAAGTGCTAACATGTAGATAACTTTTTAACCATTTCAGTCCAACAGACTTTCAGTAGAACACAATAAAATCAGGTGAAAAATATCAAAATAGTAAAAATCAAGTAAGAAAGTTTCAAAAAGTTACATTTAGTATTCTCCTACTGATCAAAGTTTATATTTTACCTTGAGCCAGCATGCCAGTCTTTGCTTCTTCCTAACAAAAATAAATTAAAAAAATTACTTTTTGAATTTCAGGGAAAAAGATAATCTGGACGAACTTTAAAAGTTGGTCCAAAACCTAAGAACAGTTCTTAGAACTTAGAACTAAGCAGTTCTTGGTTCTCCAAGAATATTCACTTCTCTAAAACTCTCCTTAGGATGCCAAAAGGTCCTCAACATCCTGTATTCTATAAACCTTCTCACAAGTGACCAGGAACTAAATGCTACTCCGCATAAATGGAATAATATTTTTGCACCTTCCTGGTTCTCTTATATTGTAATTTGAGAAAACAAAATAATGTAGCAGTAAGTACATTACAGTTCCATTCTATTTGTTCTTTTCAAATATTTATTAGAAATGCTACTTTAATAAACTTAATTAAAAAGAATTTTAAAACCCCATTTATCTATTATAGATGAACACGTGGTGCTCTATAGACTCTTTTCGTAAAAAAAAACAAATCAGAACATGCGCTCCAGGAGTGCACCTGATGTGCACCTGATGTGCTCCAGCCATATGTGTTCCACATCAAAATACCTGACTAAGCCAGTCGACAGCAATACCCCCAAAGCTCATACAGTGTAGATTTTGGGTCCTCTGTCCAAACTGCTTCTCTGTACACAACTACTTCCCACAGCAAGCTGTGTCACTTGCTGGTGTAGACATCACCTTAATAGCTCCAAAAGACAGAGATTAATCACTACCCATTCTGAGGCTGAGGCTCCAACCTGAGCTCATCATTTGTGCACTCCCATCCACAGTCTTAATTCAAAGGAGGAGTAAGCAGGAAACCCTGTGAAGAACTTAATCTTTTCGGTGATTTATCACAGGAAAGTGTATATCCTTAATAGAACAATATAGTCCCAGGACCACTACATTCTTTTCTTTCAGATAGTACATATTATATAAAAGTTTACTATGTTTGCAGTTATACATTGCAGAGCTTTTACAATTCATGGAAGTAATGTAAACATTTGGTAAGTTATACCTGTTCTTGAGGACTTAAATCAACTCCTGACACGATGTTTTGATTCACCTGACTTTCCTCAGTTTTAAAGGCAGGATTAGGATCTGTTTGTTCTTCAAAATCTTCACTGTAGCTGCCTGAAGAGTAAAATAAACATCAAATAGAATGAATATTCAAGAAAGATAAAGCAGTAAGGAAAAGGTATTTCCTCTTCCCCAATCTCTCATCTAAAAACAGCTACTGCCACTATTACTCCTTTCACAAATGCAACAGAAAGGTTTCGAGACTGCGTGTGGACAGTAAAAGTCACACATAATATCTCTAAATTCAAAAGAAGTTTGTCTTATGATCAGATATACTTTACCTCTGTCTCCTCAAGGCATACTTGAATTGACCCCTTTATTCAATCACTTTCTCTCTCTTAGGGTGAAATGATGCAATTCCCCCTCTAGTAGACGAAGTACTCTGTACATCTCCTTGACAACTCCAGCAGTTGTTAGGCTCAGAATCTGTTATTCTGCTTCCCCTGGCCCAACAGCCACTCTCAAGAGTAAGCATTATTTAAAACCACAAGTATGTCAGAGAATGAATTTTACAAGCAAGCCAAATGCTTTTCCTTCCGTTACCTATGTCCTTCCACAAGTTCTGATCCCCTGTTGCTGTATCTCCCCCACTCAGCTCTTGTGGTTACAGGCTTCAGTGTCTGCATTATCTGTAACGCTTACATCTAGAAGCATTGCAAAACACTGGTTTATGTTGTGTTCTTTCTGTGTTTTGTCACCAATACAACTGACACACAGTCTAACGCATATGTAAAAACTACTCTATGAAAAGTCACTATTTCAGCATTCTCTGGTTTTGGACCATGAGAAGTCTGATCAGCTGAAAATAGCTTTCTCATACTGACTTAAGACATACACAGTGCTTATAGTATTCCTGCATACGTATTATCCACTATTTCGTTTGCTATTTCATGAAATAGCAGTTTGACAAAGACTAAACCAAACCATACATTACACACAGATTCGTCATTCCAGGTATTCCATAGAAACTGTTTTCCTAAAAATCAGAAATATCAATTTCAATAAAACTGACCGTAACAATCAAGTAATTTCAACCGTGTTTTTTTTTTCCAGAAAAAGTCTACCAAATTGTTGTAGCATTTCTGCTACAACTATCATATCTCTTGCAATCTACAGAGTAATCAAACTTGCAAGAAGAAAAGATTTCCTGCGATTAAGGTTTACAAATACAGCCTCTTTATGTTTGGGAAATTCAAGCCTGACAACATGACCTCTCAAAAGTTCAGCTAAATATATAAATTTGAAAATACAATCTGTTGATTAAACTACAGGAATACACTCTATGATATGTTAGCAATGAAGAGTCAAATAAAGAGAGATGACAAGTGAAAGAGAAGTAAGTAAGATGAAAGGAGTGTAGCATGGAAATTTGGGAAAAAGATCAGGCAAGAGTAACACTGCAGATTACAGAGATTAAATTCAGGTATGAAAAGACAGTACAAAAATACAGATGACAGTTAAGACACTGGAGTTACTCAAACATTAAGATGTATTTCAACATCAGGGTCATTTTTTCTTCAGTTTTTGATTGACAGTTGCTTGGGGTTTTTTTGCTGTTTTTCTTTTAGACATTGGTCACAATAGATGAAAAATTCACTTCAAAACAAAAAAGCACAAACCAAAAGCAACTCCCTGAAACCCTTTGTCTGAACACCAGCTGCACAGTCATAATGCAAAGGCAGACCAAAAGGCCGATGTGAGAACTACAGATAAATGCAAATCATAAATACGAAAACTACATTAGCTTTCAGATAAATAAAAGTTTTACCCACAACGGTCAGGGTGATATGGGAACAGAAGTCAATTGGTTTACATACTACTCAGAACAAAAAAGTTCCGTGAGGATGCTGGACTGTCTCGTGAATCTGAAACCTACAAAGAGTCAAGTTTTCTGACTAGCTCCAAAGGCAACACAGAGCATAGGACAAGCTATGAGACTGTAGTACAACTTCCTCTTTCCAGATCTTTAAATTACATCCCACTACAAACATGAAGATCCTATGCTATCCTCTGACACCCTGCTGTGACGTTTTCTGAAGACTTTGCATTTGAACTGGAGCACTAATCCACAGCTTTCATTTCTGTTATTCTGTTTAATGAGATTCTCACAATTCTTAGTGTACACACAGTAAAAAAAAAAAAAAAGAAAAAAAAAGAATTTTCAAATCAATTATTTAGAAAGATGGTATTACCAAATTTCTCTTCATGTGTGGATTCCTCTTCTCCTTTTTCTGTTTCTTCCTTTCTGAGAAACAAAACGAAAATTTTACTCTCTTCTTGGACAGCAAATAAATACAGGTTTTTTTCTCTAATTCCAAACTTCGATACCTCTTACAATTAGCGATAAAATTAAAAACCTGAATTTGTCCAGCATATCAAATCATCGGTAAGAAAGGCGGATAAATGTCAGCAATTATTAAAACAAATATTTAAGTTTTTACAACTGTCCATAGTTAAAATTCTCAATCTAACTCTTAAAATCACCCCCTTTCTGCATTCCCTCCAACATTTACATTAGCTTCTCAAAGAAATTTTTATCATCAGGTCTGCTTCCTGTTCTGACCTTCTTATTCTGCATTAACAAAAAAAAAAAAAATCTCTCCTTTCTTTCCCCTTTTCCTGTAAGATTAAAGTTTTTTCCTTACCTAAAACTCTCCAGAATTCTGACCCTCCAACTGTTTTCACATTAGAAGTTTCCTTTGCACTCAGCATTTTTAGCAACAGCAGCCTTCATGAATTGCCCCTTCATCTGTTTCTCTCACATATGTTTGAACTTATTTTCACATAACTGATTATAAATGGATTGCCCTTGTCTATGAAGATTTTGTATGTTTCCTCTAGATTCGTTTGTAACATCATGTCTAAGGGGACATAGAATCTTTCCTGATCTACTTCCTTGTTATTATCAGTTGTTAACTTTTCATTTAGTTATACCTTACAATTAAGAATGTTAAATTGACTTGTAACCATTGAGTTATGCACAAGACTGTGTAGCTATGTCCACTCATCACCAAGTCACGCTCTCTCACCTTATTCCTTTCTTTTATTTATTAAGCTCACTTCTGTCCTTGTCTTCCAAAAAAACCCAAAACAAAACAAAACAAACAAACCACAACAAACAAACAAAAAAATGACTGAAATCATACAGGATCTTGTCCCACAAAATCTCAGTGGCCATGGTATTCCCAAGATACATGTGCCCACTAATACAATCCACAACTTTTCTTCCCCTCTAAATTACCGTATAAATGGTGCTAGTAATACAGAATCATTGGAATCCAGCTCTTTATTTAATCTTGAATAATCAATAGTAGAGGAAGCTTCTCGTTCGAGTTTGGCAAAAAAGATCTCTTTTTCTTCTTGTTCTTCCAAGGTATCCAATCCAGCTCCCACGATACTTTGATTAGGCTCAGAAGCTAAAACTGAATCTAAATTTCAAAACAAAGAATAAACTAATTGTCTGTGCCCTATGTTCACATAGAATAGTCAAAATAGTTAACAACAACTATAGACAGACTCACAAAATATTAACAGTATCAAATAATCGTAAACTAGTACCAGGAGCCTTCAGCTCACGAGATGCAGCTGACAGAAGTGAAGAATCCCAACTTGCAATGAATTAAGGGAGACATTATTATTTGTAATAATAGTTTACTTAGATCTAGCCAACTTCATGAAATGGCTGCACTCTCAGTTCTCACCATTTGTCTCCAGACTGTCTCTACTTAAGCAGACAGCAACCCCATCACTTTTCTGAAGCTGCATCTTTTCCACATGCATGTTCTCATCAGTTTCCCCCATAGGCTGTGAAGTGTTCTGTATCTTGACAAAGCTTCCATTGGTTCCAAGCATTCCTAGGAAAAAAGTTGCAATATTCTTGACTATCATCTAAAGGCTATTTGTATGACACTTCAGTCTTTTAGTCATCTTCCAGAACCACCAATTTCAAGCTCACGTTGCAACTGCAAAGATACCCAGTCTCACAAATCACATTCATCTAACTTCAGTTTCTATTATGAGAGACGTAAATCTTGTTTAATTGCAATTAATTAGTCTATTATATACATTTTCTTTCCATCCTTCATATTTGCACACAAACCTATAGTTCAGCATGGGGCAAATATAACATCTGTAAAAATTGACTTACTGTAACATTACTTATGGAGGACAACCATACACACAAACCCTGTATAGAAATTAACATTTCTTTGTTAGAAGCCTATTAATTTTGTTTGATCTACTACCCACAGACTTTTGAAAATTGTAGCCATTGGCCCAGCAGCTCCTTTTCATTTGTTGCAAATTAAATGCTTTAAGGAAAAATATAATAACCAAAGTTACTTAAAGGTCACTGATGAACACCCAGTTCTTCCATTCTGTATGTTTATGCAACTACAACATGCAGGTGCTCTCCTTACTCATTGTTGTGAGTGTTCAACATCACCTTACCAACTTTATGTGTGAATTCTGCTCTCAGACAGAATGATGCCTTATCTAGTTCCTTACAGAAAACTAAAAGCCAAGTATTGCAGTACTTTACTAGTTAAAAAGCAGTACCAAGTCCCTTTTGCCTGCCCCTAAACCACATACATTTATACTTAGATTCTTTAGAGATTCTCTTATGAGAAGGGCTGAGAAGGGCTAGGAGAAAAGCTGCTTATGCATTTTATCCAATGACGTATGAAATGATTTAACAGTTCCCACAGAAAGGAACAGAAACCATGTCCATCTTTTCCAACATGAATCTCCAGGTGGTAAAACAAACTCAGAATTTTTTGTTCTGTCTGGCCAAATGATGTTTAGACTGTAGGTGTGTCCTTGCACTGAATGTACCAGGAGGGGTGAAGACACTGACAACAGCTCATTTCCTGCTGGCAGGAGGCTGCAGGAGATGCGTACATCAATAAACCTTCAGATCAAGAACACTAAACCAGTCTTCCACATGCTGATCAAGTGCTTCAACTCTGGGCTGCTACTCTGTCCTGTATACAGGTTCAACCAAGTTCCTTTTACGAAATGCCGTATTTGCCTATATCATGACGATGGAGAATCCTCTCCATTCAGTACTGAAAATGTACCCAGGGTGAGGCAGGGTGGGAAAGGTAAGAGTCTGAACACCTTTTCCTTCCCTACTGGGCAGCCCTTAGCACATGCATTCTGATTATAAGAGCCTCCTCATTAAGAAGTAGAGTAGGTTTTTTTTTCTTGACTTGCAATGACAAAGTCCCATTGCACGTTTTATTGGGGAGGCTAAGTGCATAAGATTCTACATCCAGGAAATGACTTCTACATTCTTGTATCTAACTTCAGCTCTCTGATACAGACCTCTGACTGACTTGCCTTGCGTGCAACAAATAAATGTCAGACATTGACTAAAGGTCAAGGTCCACGTGTTTACAAAGTTAATGCCTAAATAAATACATTTTGCTACTACATTGAAAAGTGTAAAATGAAAAGCTCAAAGTGCTGAACAGAAGTGAAAAAGCATGAATAGTCCATTTCTTTGGTACCTAAATGCAGTAATTTAAAGTAATTTACCCAGATGGCGCTCTATTCTAGTTATCAAGACAGGGAACAGGAGTTTGTTGGCAGCTGGGTCACAAGTTTTTTGCAGACCTTTAGAATAGCCACAATCTCACCAGACCTCTGACACCCTATTTTTCAATGAGAATATGTTAGTAGAATCAAAGATAAACTGTCACTGCCCTCCTACATAAGATTTACAAGAAAGGAGATGGCAATACACTTCAGTAGAAAGAAAATTAGAAAGTTTAACAGAGCAAAATTTTAGAGAAAAACATTTTCCTGAGTTGTTTTATTTAAATCATCTCAAATTCAATGAACTTTCTGAACAGACTTACATTGATCTTGAAGGCTTCATGGGATAAGTAGCTTACATTAGATAGCTTACATAAGTAAGTAATATTTTTTAAGTATTTTGCCAGTTCAAACCAGACCAGAGCTTTTTTAAAAAAAGCACCTCCCATAATAATCTGAAAATCAAACACCATTTTGAAGCTATTCAGTTTTGTAACTCGTCCATTCCCAATTCCCAGACACACACCCCAGATTACAGGAGATACTACCATTGCTAATGAAGGCAAAAATGTCTTTTTACTAGCCCTGCACAATCTGAACTCTGAGAAACTTACCAAACTTGGAAAAAATATCAACTTGGATGGATTTCAAAGTCTCTTTTCACTGTGTTTTTTCGCTGTTTGAACAGTCCTACTGATTTCTGAGGGGCTTGCAAGAGTGATTTGGGGGCGGGGCGGGCATTTGTTATTTTTCGTAAAAACTTCTTGAAGCAGCAGTTTTCTTGAACTCCAAAGATTTCACTACCCTTATCTTCACATGCAATATTTTTTAAGGCTAATGATATACAGTATTCTTTTTTAAAGTCCTGCCACTTGAAATTAATTAAAATAAGAATGAAGAAAGAAGAAAAATTAAAATTTTCACTTAGAAAAATATTCCTAACCAGCACAATTGCAGAGAAACGTTTAAAAACATAAATACAAAGGACTCAAACCTACAGACAATGACAAACATCTCTTTAAAAAGTAATTTCTTTTCTCCTTAATCTGACCAGGACTGTCAGAATTGAACCATTTTATCTTTTTAATATCATATAAAATACAATAAATTTGTTACCCTCAGAATTGTCTGGACTGTCAGAAGTGAGGCTTTCTTCTTTGTTTAAGTACGAATCTTTTTTGTCCTTATGAAATTTTTCCAGCATTTTGAATTTAGACAAAGCCTTGCTGCGAGATGCACTGGAAGAAGGTTTAGGGGGAACTACTTTAAGTGTACACAAACATTTGTAAGTTTTTATACATAATGGACAGGGAACAAAGAGAAAAGTAAGATGTGAGAATTCAAATTGTCACTTCTGAAAAAGTAATGCAGTTCAGTTTCTTGTAGACTGAATTATCTACAATTTTCTACCTGTAACTGAAGATTAAAGTTAATACTCATAACTTCTGAGAATAAAACTCTTTTTCTCCTCTTTTTTTGTTTTAAAAAAAGACAAATTCCTTCTTGCTCCACGTATACCTGGCATTCAAATACACTGTTCTAGGAGCTCAATATATTACCCGAAAACAAAGAAAAACTAGTAAAACTACTTCAACAATAACAGAAGTTTTGTACTACAAGTTTTGAAAGAAAGCATCTAGATCGGTTCAAAGAAAAGTAGAAAAACATAGGTACATACATGGGAATTACTACTGTCTTTATCACTGTCAGGTACAAGAACTGCATGTTATTTGATCAAACCGTTGAGAGGACTTGCTTAGAAGCAAATATAACCAAACGCCTTCCATTTACATTAGTAGAATTAAGTTTTAGATAACAGTACCTATGCTGAAAATTGTGCTTTCTCATGATACTTAGATGATAGTCACACTACACCCTTTATATACCTTAGGCTAGCCAGATGTACTGTATTAGACTTTCCCTTGTTCAAATTGTCGGGGTGGAGGAGACTTCTAAATTGGCTAATTCAGGGAAAACTCTTAGTTACAGGTTTTTTGAATTTACATTGACACAAGAGAGTAGTCTAGGGGATCAGGCCAAATACTTATGCTATCTAGAAACAGGACTATGGGGAGATGTGACCAGAAGCTAACACAACACAGAAACATCCAAGATGACTAAAGGAAACTGGTGAGCATATGGCAAAAAGAGAAATGGTATGAAATCCATTCAGATACAATGCACAGGTCCTTTATTCCCTCAACTGATGTCCAAGTCCACTCGTGAGGCCTCACTTCTCTAGATTTATATTCTCCAACATTTACTGGGAAACTAAAGGTGTTGACAGCATGCCTTCTGCTCTAAATAACACAAACACCTGATGCCTTCTAAAACAGTAATTTGAAGTAACTTCCAAACTCCTCCTATTGCTCATATTTCAAATATTAAGCCTAATTCGAGAAACAGATTCAGTTTTAGTGTTTATCTCCCAGACCGAGATGCTTTATAGCTATTCTATGCAACGAGCCTTATGAAAACAGGGCAGCACATATGCTCTAGAAAGCTAACATAGGGAAATGTTCTACAGGCTACATAGTATATCACCAACACAATCTGAAGACCAAGTGCCAAATATTTCTTTGTCATGTATTGATCTGCTTGAATTTAACACCAAAGCCACGTTTAAACTAATACATACAAGTTAATTGCTATTGTCATTTACACAAAACTATTTCATCGATCAACATTTATAACTCTTAATTATTCTTTGGAGTTCCTCTTTATAGCATAAAAAGTGACTTCACATAAAAGGTTGAATTTGAAATTACATAGACTAAAATAATCCTGTAGATTAAACAACTCAGTTTGTCATTATTACACCAACTGTACTGTTTCCATTCCAGGGGCAGCATGCACAGAGTAGCCTACTAGTCAGCAGAGGGAAAAGAATCAGATCAATAGAAAATAAATATAATGCTTCTCTGACTGGAGTCTTTGAAATTAAACAAATAGAACAGTGAATATTAATATTTCCTGAGTATGAAATACAGAAAGTGTAAGAGATTTTGTGTTTACTAAACATAATGACCTTTGTTTAGATTTTCAAAGTTATTCTCCCCCCCACTGGCTTACATTCAATACTGTCTGTCCTCCTACATCACTATAGGTAGTGATGTATGATGTAACGACAACTGAGCAAAAGTTCACATAGTTATTAGTTTCTTCTGGAAATGGCAAATGAAGTAAGTGGCACCTTGTTTTCAGTGAGAACACTATGGTCAAATGGACAATTTGCAAAGGATTTTCTATAGGAAACGCACTAGTAATACAAGGCTGATATTGAATAAATTTAACAAAACATATTTAATCAAATACCAGACTGGGAATCTGAATGGGGACTCTTTTGTTCACTGTTTTCCACCATTTCAGCATGGCTTTCCATCAGTTTCTTCTCTTTTCTCAGTTTAACAAATCTTGTTTGAAAATCTTAAAAAGTAAGACAAACAGCAAGAACAGACAGGCAAGCAAGACATGACAGGAATTCCTGTTATCTAATTTCTTTTTATCATTTAAATGACAAAAGCAAGTAGAAAGGACATTAGTTAGAGGCATGTCTTTAACCTGTCAAATACGGAAGACAGTATCTTGAATCATAATTTGCACATTTCAGTTTAAAGCTGAAGAACAAAGAGTTCAAACGTGCCTAGAATAACAAGTTGAGTTCTTTTAAAATGTACTTTATACTGCTCAGCCAAATGAGCAGAAATAGTCTACGCTGTTTACCATGAATCTACAAAACCAAGTGGAAACAGGCTATTAGTGTAAATCTCTACCCGTTTCCTGGCACTGCAACAAGATGCCTTGGAAAAAACAATCAGACAACAAATAAATGTATAGCATATATTTTGTCTTCCAGTCATCTGTCTTGCGTCTTTTAAGAAAGCATCCCATAGATACTGCAGTAACTCAAAATGAAAACCTCAAACTGGAAACAACTTACCAGCTCGGTGCATTAGTCAAGCTAATTAACCAGACTGTACTTTGTTAATATAACAGTATCTCTATACAGTGCCACCCAAACACATCAACTCATACATATTAAGCACATATTTGTAATGCAGTGCCACACTGGAGGTAGAAGTAAGATTTATACCTTTACATAAGTTTGATTCATGTTGACAAAACACTTTAAAAATAATTGTATTAGCTGACAGCCTATCAATAAGAGTCCCATCTGCAACCAACATGGAGGTTCAAGCCTAGGAGAATACACAAGAATCTCCACAAAATTTCTGCCAACTTTACCCTTTTGAGAAATAAATTCAGCTTATTTCCATATTTGTTATCATCACAGAAATATTATTATGTTTTTAAGCAGGACGATTATTTTGCTATTTAGGGCACATTTAATAACCTTACAAAAAGCTAAAAATCTAAATCATCTTCTTCTCAGTCATCCCGTGCAGTAACTTATATTATCAATAATAATCCATTATTAATATATCCGAGCACCATACTACTCTTGTATTCTCAATTTTATTATGTCCAACTGCCAAGACATGTTCGACCTTTGATTCAAAAAGCATTACACACAGATTACTTTCAACTCTCTGCGAAAAAATCCAGCCCCTTATCATGAAGAGTATGAATATGAACAGGCTAGCTTCTTTTACAAGTAAATGGATTCCATACTGGCAAAATTGGGTAGGCTCACCTTCTGAATGTTTTCTTGTAAAAGGAGAAGCTTTTTCTAAAAGAGATCCTAAAAAGTCTACCAGAACGCTGTTTTTATCTTATACGTCAATAAACTGCAGATCAAGCATGTTTCAGTTCTAATAGCTTTACCTCTAGTTAAACTACAGAGCTGATAAGATATTCTTAATTTAAAAAATAAAAGTGGTAGAATTGGTTTACATGGGAAGAACTTGATATGATCACATTATTTCTTCCGATTCTGCTTTGCATTGTACTTAACCCATACAAGCACTGTTCTCTAAAACTTGTAATCACCCTGCCCTTTAAGTACCTATTGCAGTGTTTTTTGGTTGGATTAGCATGGGAAGCATCAAAGTGCTTTATGGGTTGCCTCAAGCATTTCAGAAAAAACATGGAAGAATGGTGAACTTCTAAAGTCCCCTGAAAATTTTCTCTGATAGTATGTCGAAAAACGAGGTCATGCTAACCGCTTAATTCTCACACTTTGCCCAGCAAGAATACTCTGTCCTTCTGGTTTTTTGAAAAGCTGTAAGGAAATCATAATATCTCATAACTACCCGATATATAGTTGCACTGCACTGATAGGAACTCTCTCATATCCATCTGAGTTTACCACCAACATCTTAAAAGGCCAGAGACAGATAAGCAGTCCAGACAACACCTATTAGGGTTATGCCTACATGGCAAAACTGCTAAGATTTGGCTCCTAACTATGACAACACTGACAGGACAGAGCTATGCTTAAAATCGGAGACTACCAGCAGTATCTTAACTCTGTCATATGAAAAACTAGTTTCTGGAACTTTCTGTTAAGCTCCAGTTGCAAGTTGCATACAAATCATGAAAATAAGAAGCCACCAATTACTACAAGAACAAAAGGCAATCACCCTGTAGAAACTAACTACTCATAGGCTTTACTACCCAATAAGAAAACAATGAAGAAATGGAAAACTAGAGGTGGAAAGCTTGCAAACAATAACATATTTTCTTCCAGAACTATGTGACCAAGTCAATACTGAACTAGCTATCATGTCATCACAGCCCTTCTCCTCTTGAGCCATGGTTCTTGGCAAGGGAACTGTTGAGAATACTGACAGACATACATCTTTGAATCAGCTGCTGTTGAAAAGTTTTTCTGTGCTTCCCCAACCTATTACAAATGTTGCGATTAGCGTAAGATTATACAAATTGGTCTTTTTCCTCTCCAGTTTTGAGAACAGAAATCTATAAAAAGTCAGTATAAGGAACAGGTTGGTTACAAAACACACCTACAAATATTTCAGCAGAATTCATACGTTTTCTAATTATCTTTCTATTTATAATGTATGTACTCTTTACAAGTTTTAATAACTTCAAAGCTACAGAAAAAACAGCAGAAAGCTTGCTTACAGCTTGAATACGATCCCTTTTAAAAAAATACAATTACATTTGAGTTTTATACCTTACAAACTCGCATTGTAATGTTCTAAAGCACTTGAGTGGCATCAACTTAATCTGAAACTAGGCCTATATGAAGCATGAGAAAGAACTAGCCTGACCCCCTGTGGCCAAAAAATTGCAAAACTACACTATTTACCACCATCATCCAAATCTTCCTCAGATATCCACCACGGCACTGAATCCTTTTTCTTTGTTTCTTTTTTCCTGGGCTGTCCCAATGTCTCAAGAATGCTGGATTTTTTCTTTGAATTTCCAAGTGAATCATCTGAAAGAGACTGAGTCAATTGCACACAAGATTAAAGAAAGCTTTTACATTTTCACATTGTTTAACTGTCTTTCAGCCACTCAATTCTGGACTTCTGAGTTCAGATGCCTCTCTTTACTCCCCACTGTCTGCCTTTTTTGTACATGCATGACAAAGTTGAGTAAGAAACAATAACTATATTCATGTGGCATAATACTGCATATTATAATAACCCCACTGCCAGAATTTGGATATGTTAAAAGTTAACTGCTTTGTAGAGTATATGTTCAAATGAACAGCATAATCAGTTCTTTTTCAATTAGTTACAACATATAAGAACCAAAATCCTGACTAAATCCCTGAAGATAATGAAGTAGAGCAGAAACAGTTTTGCCTTGGCCTTGCTTTGTACATGAACAACATATTAATATTCTAGCTCCCAGCAAATCAGATTTAAGAAATTAATTTTATACTTTGTGTTCATGGAAATTAATAGAAATGCCAGAGCCATTCCTACCCCACTCTGCGTATTAAGCTTTCCTATGTGTTAGTCATCCATGCTGATTTTGACTGATGGCTTAAATCAATGGAGAAAAAAAGTCTATGGGGATGAACATCCTATGAATTTAAGCTAGTGGAGAGTAACAGGAAGGAAAAGACCTACAGACACTTTATAAGACAACAGAACTTTTTTGAAGTGATGCAGCTTTTTTTTAAAAAAAAACCTAATCTCTGCTCTTTTCCTTTAATAAAGCTCTTTGTGGCTTACAGCAGGCTCAGAGCCACAATTAGCTGTCCAGACATTGAACAAGGAAATAAATTCATTAAGCTAGTTCACTGCAACCTTATGTGCTACATATTCTTTGTGCTTAAACTCAGTAAACATGGGGTTAACAGGAGTGGCATACTTTTTATTTTTATCTAATCTTTTATCCGTAATTGTTGAAATCAATTGTCCTGAAGTGTCTTATAGAACACAGTGAACAGAGGTAGCAAAAGCTATCAAGTGTAAGAAACAAAGAATTCACATATGAAATGCATCATATGGGAAAATTTCAAAAGCTTCACTTTTGTAATAGTCACACATAAGAAAATGTGATAGTACAAACAGAATACTAGAGGCAACAGGATTGTGGGTACTTAATATGTAAAATACAAGAGGATGTTTTATTAAAACAAGCCTCTGCAGTCCACTGCCTGATTCCTACTGCATAAAAAGCACTACCATAAAAGCCTACCTTTACTACATACTAATGCTTCCATTTATATGGGCCTAACAACAACATCCATAAATCAAACGCCAGTTATCCAAAACTACCATTTAAGAAAAGAAAAAAAAAAGAAAATAATATTCTTATAAATATCTCTGACCAATAACATCTTTAGAGCTTACAGTTTCACTTGAGAAAACTTAATGTCTGTCATACAGTCTCAGAAAGAAAATTTAAGTGCTTCGAGCCTTGCGCTTTAATAAAACACAATTTTAATAAATTATGAAACTGCTAGACAACAGGATGTATTGCAATTTCTTTAAGTTGGCTCAGTGACATAGAACAAAACAGCTTTACATTCTTAATAAATGTCCTATAAATAACAACTTCCTTACACTAGTCACAACACAAGTACTAGAGCCATTGTCCCCAAAGGTCGGACTGCCTCCTGCTAGCTAGAAGTACTGACAGGTGCTTGATGCAAGCTGTTATCGCTTGCTGTTTCTTTTATGACTAACAGCATCCTCTACTCTGCAAGCAGAGCTTCAGTGATGCTCGTACTCCTTCGAGTATTGTAACTAAAGAAACTGAAACTCCCACAGGTTGTTCTCAAGTTCTGGAAATTTTCTATGTCCAGCCATCTTGTCAACTGCAGACAGTAAAGTTGCAGCAGCTGGGAAAGAAATGCTGACACGAAAATACTAGTGCATTTTTCCCAACATGTCAGTTGTCTCAGCAGCGAAACTTAGAGATTTTTTTCTTCCTTTGAAAAAAAGTAAATAAATAAATCAATCAACTTTTTGGACCAGTAATGGCTTTTCAGTGCCAGTAAGTGGCACTGATTTCTTCCTTCCCCTCCTATATAAAGCAGCCTGTCAGCCTTTCAGAAACATAGACACACACACACAAAAAAAAAAAAAAAAAAAAAAAAGCATCAGTTGTTTAATCTCAACTTAAATAAAAGCCAGAAGAGTCAGTTTTAAGAACTGGGACAACTACATGGCACATAATCAGCTTACCACTTCCTATACACATGAAGGAACTTAAGAAAGTAGATAGGTAATACAGGATTGGATCTAAAACACTCAGACTTTCATGACCAGTTGTCCTAATTATTTCATGAAACAAGTCTTTTTCACTAAAACAAGTCTACTCCTACTATATTTTTAGTACAAAATAATATTTTAATATATTTGATCTTTTAATAAAAATTAAAAATGTTTTTCAAACATGGTTTAATGTGTAGTGTTACTCTTCCAGGTACTATTCTACAGATTTTCTAATAAAGATGGTATAGCCTTTCCTTTTGAAAGTCTTCCTTCTCAGCTACCCATGAATATCAAGTAGAACAAAAGTCAACCTAAAAGACTAGAAGCAGATAATGGCTTTTTCCTAACTTTGCTTTGCTTGAAGTGTCATCAAAAAAAGCAGTTAGTTGAAGCACTGTGTATTAGAAAGAGCTCCTCACATTGCATGTCCCAAGGGAACTTCACAGCCGACACTCAGAAAACTCAGGAGCTACACCACTATGACAGATAATACGTCAATTAAAGTGACAATAGGGGAAGTACGCTAAAGTAAGATACTGGTGGTGGGGAGTGGAAGGATCACAGGCACACAGACAATGGAGGAGGAAGAGAACAATTATGGATGACAACAGGCCGTTCTGGCAAGGGGTTGGGAATAAGTGTGACCAGGCAGACATTTGTGTTTCCTTCTGTATAATGATAAAAGCCTAGAAAATCCTCTTCACTGATAGTGCATATGCCAAAAGACTTCAGTTTAATCCTCATATTAGACCTGCATCATCCAACTGTATCTACAGTCTTTCTTTAACTTTATATGTTTTAATCACAAACATACATACAATCCTTCCCCCAAACAAAGGCCACTTCACTAACTATGAGTTATTTAAAAGGGAAAAACCATCCTACTCCATTTCTTCTCTGAAAGATTTGCTTAAAAGATACTGTCTTCCTCAAGCTACTAAGAAACAGTTTTCCTATTCCCTCCCTCCCCCCCGCCGTTATACTCTCACCACAAACATCACCTACACAGCAATTTCAAACAGTGAAGCACACCAGTTTCTCATTTTTCAACATTAAAAGCCAGCACACTTTTTCTAAAAAACAAAAGCAAAGGGAAGGACATAACAGAAGATGCAAGCATAACAGAGAGTAGATAATATCATTGTTATTTGGGTCTGTATCTAGCTGGCAAAACATAAAATAATGTATATTTTTAATGACTGAATTGGCAGTGTATGTGTTTAAGCAAGTTTAAACACTTTACAAACAGTTTTCGTTTGAAACAATAAAAAACAATTAAGACATGAGTTGTTAAAAGTTACATTCTCTGGAACATGCCAAATACCACTTAGAATAATTCAAGACAGCTATTTTGATTTTTTTCTAACTCGAGCATTCTCAATGTGGGCCAGAGATGAGGAGCAAGAAGAACATGTCAAATAAGGAACAAAATACTAGAAGCAATCACACGCAGAGTTTTGTCAGATGCGCAAAATAAATAAAAGAATAAACCTCCTCTCTCTTCCTCAGAGCAACTCCCTTCATAACAATAGTAAGTAAAGAATTTTTGACATAAATGCAAAGCCTAATTTTCTATTTTTACTAATATTAATAATTTCAGTGAATTTAAGAATGTTAACTCAATAACATCATCAAATTAAAGGCCAAAATCTACCTTTAAGTTATTTGTGAATCTTAATTTTCAGATGGCATTTTGGTTTTCTATTCTCTCAATTTAGTATTGCTCAGTGAAGTTACATTTATTCTGTAGCTATAAAAACACCTCACAAGCTGCATGGTCAAAGGAGAGTTACAGACCTACCTGGGAAAGCCAAAATCATCTTGAAAAAGAAGCCTCTTACTACAGATCTTTAGTACACAGTACAAAGTGCAATTTTTATAGAATTTAGCACCTACATTTTTCACAAGTAATTAAATGGTAGCACAGCCTCTACATCTTTAAGCATACATTACATGTAACAGAGACGCCAAGAATATTCTCTGCCATCATTAGCTACACTTATACACAGCAATAGAATCTAGTAAAGGCCTTATGTATGCGGTATTTATATCTTAGGTTTATCACACTGTGTGTCTGATAGACCAGAGGGCAAATTCTGAAATTGCAGGTCTCTATGCAGTGAAAAAACCATACCAAGTTAGGGCATTTTGACCACGCCTGATAATTGTTAGCTTAAGTTATAACCCATAGACTTGCATGATTTTGCCTGTACTCAAAATCACCAAGCACCATGAGGAATAAAAGGAATCAAATCAACATTTTCTAATCACTACAACATACTTCATTTTGTTAGCATTAATACAAGAATTTTTAAGCAGAATTCAGTAAAACAGAGCTTGTGCCTACATACAGGAAAAGTTTTTAATCTCATTTTCAATTATATATCAATTTGAAGCTTCTGTTACTAAATAACACACACAATTAAATTGAAACAAAAATCAAGAAGCAAGGGCTCTTTCTGAAGATACAATCTAGCAGCGACAAAATATTTATTTAATCACAAAACTGTTCTCTTGATTTCAATACAGCAAAATAGTGTGAATTAAGTTTAACAATGAAGCGAGGACCTTGTGAAGACCTTGCAAAGACCCACGTGGAAGACAGCTATGTAAATTATGTGGAAAAAGCACAGCTGCATCTTCCATTTCATATTCTTTCATATTCAATCTTCCCCCTGTATTTTAATAGGGAAAAGGGATGTGACCTTGCTCTGAAACATACCTCTTTCAGAAACTCTTCAAACTGCTCATCTAATTCTTCTTTTGAAATTCGATGAGCCATAATCTGCAACTGGATGTTACCTTCCAAACAACTGAGTTTAAAAACTAAGATTTAAAATAAAGAGAAATTTAATTAAAAGCATTCTGAAAACAGAGGTAGCCTAGTGATTTGCTGCTTTCATAGAGAGCTATAAGAAAAAAAAAAAACTCAAGAGATGCCAAATTTCATTCCTCCCACTCCTAATCTAAATTATTTACTGAACAAGACAATCAGTGCAAACATGCCTGGATTACCCAAATTCCCTATAATCAAAGTACTCATTTCCAACACAACAGTTTCAGCATTTAAACTTTGAGGGATAAATAAATCACCATTTTTACATTTTTCTTCAAAAGACAGCTCTCTTAGCTACCCACAATTAAGCATTTTGTCAATGATCAAACAAGAATCCACGGCAGTAATACTTCCCATCCATTTTAAGGGCTTTTAATTCTTTTCTATGTTTCTTCTCCAAAACTGGAGACATTTGGCATTGTAAGTTTTGTTTCATCATCTCTGCTGTGCTTAGGACTCAGTAAACAATAAATGCATGAAAGTCTTTAAGATTAGAGGACAACATTTGGTTTGATCTGCCCTGTCACAGAAAGCCAATGACACTTGCCCCCCTCCCACTCCCGAAAGTCTGTGTTGACTTCTCAGGTATAAAGTACGCCCCACACTCAAAATGCTACAAAGCTTTTGTGTATCACACTGCTCAACACATATGGCTACCTTTAAAACTGCATATGTATAGCAGCATTAAACGACCCTAGTATCTTCCAGGCTGAGAAGTGCTATGTAAACATAAAAGGGCTAAACATTTGCAGAAATGCTTTTGCCATTAAATAAAACTTCTCCCAATATGGAGCCCTCTCAGTACATGGGACTGTTACCTACCTAGTAAATTGATTTTGACAGGCAAGTTGTGACAACTGCTTCCTGCTTTCACTCCTTATTCATCCATAGACCACCCGACACTTTGGCTTTGGCAGTTAAAAAAAAAAAAAAAAGTTATAGCAGACTATCCAGACTTTGAATTGAATAAGAGATCCTTCTGTAAGCACTTGGACAATATCTCTGAAAACATGGTAAGAAGATTAAGAATGTTACCTCTCATGACACACATAATCCAGTATCCTTTTATACTTTTACATCAAAGAACACTAGATGCTGAACACTGGATGCTTTAACAGTTTACTAGCTGTGCCAACTACTTCAGCAAGTGGAGAATTCTTAATTCCAGCCTTGCCAGAAGAAGATTCTTCTGACATTATCTGTACTTCTGTCTATCTTATAATTACAGCTTTTATAAAAACTAACAATATAAAATTTTATTTTTCAAAAGGACAACAAATATGCCAGACAATTTCTATCATAGAAGATTACAGACAAACATCACCCTTAGCAAATATACTTTACAGCCACACATTTAGAATAGGAGGCTCACTAATGACTTTGCAAGTTGTAACACAAAGAAGTCACTTGCTGGGATATATGCTATAACACAAGCCAGAAAGCAGAAGTTTTGGGAAGGTATGACTAAGCCTCAGGGATGAAGGAAAGCTTATACAGCCCAACGCAATTTCGTGTAATCTTTTAATCATCCCAGGGCTAGGACCAGCCGTGACCTGATCCTCCTCCTCCGGCTTCGGCACACGCAGGGCTGGCAGACGGCGGCGGCCGGGCAGCAGCCCTGGGGCCGGCGGGCCGTG